TATTTTGAGAGCTTTATTAGTTGTTCTCTCTGTGACGAGGACCTGTACCCTGTTGGGTGTGCCACTGATTATACAATTGTTTAAGAGTTGGGTTTACTAAAAAACTATGCCATACGGGAAAAGCCTCAGAATTATTGCAAATGTCAAAGAAGATTATAGCTGAAGTTTACCTTTGAGCAGTAACAGTCTGTTATAAAAAAGTATTCATATTTGATGGCTGAAGTTACTGCTCCAAAAACAAGGCTGGAAGAGTACATTTTTCTGGGTGGCTTAATAACTGATCTTTGATGCTTACATCTTTCAAATTTAATAAAATATCTTTGAACATTCCTGCTAAAGAACTACATGGCAAATCAAGATGCTCCACCTGGCTGTTGCCCTTTTAGTTGGCAGGAGCTGATGAGCTGTATAATTAGATAAGCATTCCCACCAATACCAGTGGTGCAGTAGTGTTTTTCATCTTTTCCATTATCATACACTTAACTCTGAAGCATATACTCATTGGTATTCTAAACACTTTTGATTGATTTACAATGTCAGTAAAATTTAAAGATTATGCATTCCAAAAAATAAGAGGGAATTAATGTCTTAGGAAAAGTTTTTAGCATAGCTCCTCTTGCCAACAATTTTTTTTAGTATTAGTGTGTCTAAGTGTACAGAAGCAAGTAAACATGGATAAATGTAATCCAAATAAAATTGCTGAGAATATTATTTTCCATTTCATTTGCTCTGGGTTTATGAGTAATAGTTCTTGATGTATACTTTGAAGTATGTCCTGATTTTTATTAGAGATGTCAAAATAATGTTCAAAATGCTGCATCACATGTTGTTATATATTCCTTTGGACATACTGTTTTCTTCCCCCAGAAACATATGTACATTTATTTTTTTAAATTTTTTTATTATGTTACTCACCATACATTACATCATTAGTTTTTGATATAGTGTTCCATGATTCATTGTTTGCATATAACACCCAGTGCTCCATTCAATACGTGCCCTCTTTAATACCCATCACCAGGCTAACCCATCCCCCCACCCCCTCCCCTCTAGAACCCTCAGTCAGAGTCCATAGTCTCTCATGGTTCATCTCCCCCTCCGATTTCCCCCCCTTCATTTCTCCCTTCCTACTATCTTCTTTTTTTAAAAAAACATATAATGTATTATTTGTTTCAGAGGTACAGGTCTGTGATTCAACATATGTACATTTAAACCGAATGTAAATCAATACAAAAATAAAAGAAGCATAAAATGAATTTTGAAGATGGAATATCAAAGCACCTCTTGGTATTTCATAAGCTTTACATTGTCTATTAAGAAATAATCTAAGATTTTTCACAGTTTATTTTAGCTTTACTTACAAATTTTACGTACCTCATTATAAAGGCTATTCAAACAACCAAGAAAGTATATCTCTAGAATCTAGTTTCAAATCTAGAAATTTGACAGCTATATAAAATTCTTCTTACTGTTACTTAAATCACAATGTGGATATACCAATAGAGAAAATAAGTATTATTTAGAATGGTTTATTGAAGGTAAAAAATCAATATTTTAAAGTCTGGGTTTAAATAAGCTCCACAGCACTTTGTTTTGTAAAATAATTACATTTAGATTTTAGACCATTCTTTCATTTATGATTTATAAAAGGCAAATCTACTATTTTAGGGATTAGGTGACTTTTTAAAGTAAGTATTTAGAATCTCCAAAAGGCATTTGAGCTGTTAGGAAAGGAATCAGATTTTTAACTAACAAAAGAATCTATTTATAATCAAGTCCTGAATACTTTTTTGTTCAGGTCACATTCTGAGTAAATGCAGACAGAATTGCTTCATGGAAATTTAGTGTAAAGTATGGGTGTGTGTCTGATTCAGAGACACATAACTTGGCTTCTGAAGAAAATGAATATCCACATGGGATTAGGACACAAACATCCCTAGTGATGGAGTCAGTGAGCAGAGATTATTAGGGGACATGTGATTATGCCAAACTGTAATCAAAGGTGATTTTTCTCTTTGGGTATATAGCTGGCTATTTACATGACTCCTAAGAAGTCTGGATGAGAAGAGAGTTTTCTTGGTTTTATTTTTATTCATTTTGATCATGATGAGTGCATTTTTCATCTTGAGAAATCTTTTTGGGCTATCAGATGGCTTTTTTTTTTTTTAAGATTTTGTTTATTTATTTGACAGAGAGAGAGACACACTGTAAGAGAGGGAACACAAGCAGGGGGAGTGGGAGAGGGAGAAGCAGGCTTCCCACTGAGCAGGGAGCCCGATGCAGGGCTCGATCCCAGGACTCCAGGATCATGTCCTGAGCTGAAGGCAGACGCTTAATGACTGAGCCACCCAGGTGCCCCTATCAGATGGCTTTTGATTGTAGAATCTAAAGATTGAATTATTCATATTTTTCCTTTATAAAAGTCCAAAGAGAAGAGCCATTAAAACATTAGTTAATTAAGAAGCCACAAAGACTTTTACTTACAAAGAATTATTCAGGTATATAATGAGACTAAGCTCATGTCTAAGTGTTCCAATAAACCTCAGGGGATTCATAGAACTTCTCCAATGATTCTTGTGGTGGAGGGGTATTTGGGTTAAGAGGTGGAGATACAGTGGGCATTCATGGTATGGATCCTCTGCTTCAGTCAGAACAATTCCACCTTTATCTCTTACATATTTATTTTTAATGTAGGCTTTCATTTAAGAAAAAGTTCAAATGAAATTTAAATACTACTGGCTGAACTCAAATTTGCATGCTTTTTAAAGACATTATCTAGAATATAATTCAGTGTAACACATTAACAAACCTATCAATTTAAGTATCTAGCATTTTTCTGTTTATTTTAAATTATTCAAAGAAATAGAACCATATGGTATCTTCTATGGTTTAATTTTTTTATTGATATAGAATTAACATATAACATGAGGTTAATTTCAGGTGTACAACACAATTTAGTATTTGTATATATTTTGAAATGCTTATCACGGTAAGTCTAGTTAACATTGTTCACCATACTAGTTTTTTTCTTGTGATGAGAACATTTAAGATCTACTCTCTTAGCAACTCTCAAATGTATAATATAGTATTATTAACTACAGTCATCATACTGTACATTTCATCCCCATGACATTTATTTTATACCTGGAAATTTGTATCTTTTGACTACTTCATGCATCTGGCCCACTCCCTACCCCATGCTTCTGACAACCACCAGTCTATTCTCTGTACCTATGATTTTGGTAGTTTGTTTGTTTTCAGATTTTATATGTACTTTACATATTTTTCATAATACCATATGAAATCATATGGTATTTGTCTTTCTCTGTCTGACTTACTTCCCTTAGTATAATGCCTTCAGGGTCCATCCATGTTGTCACAAATGGTAAGATTTTCTTCTTTTGTGTGGCTGAATAATATTCCATTGTATTTACATACCACATTGTCTTTATCCATTCATGCATTATTAGACACTTGCTTCTATGTCTTGGCTATCATTAAAAATGCTGCATAGAAAATGAGAGTGCATATATCTTTTTGAGTTAGTGTTTTTTTCTTCCTTTGAATAAATATCTAGAAGTGAAATTGCTGAATCATATGACAGTTCTATTTTAATTTTTTAAGGAATCTCCATAACTGTTTTCCCTACTGGCTGCACCAGTTTATAGCCCTTAACTCTCATGGCAGGTGAGCACAAAGTTTTCCTTGTCAATACTTCCTTGCCAACACTAGTTATTTTTTGTCTTTTTTTTTTTTCCTTGTCTTTTGATAATAGTCATTCTGACAGGTGTGAAGTGATATCTCTTTGTGGTTTTGATTTACATTAAGTGATGATTAGTGATGTCCAGCACCTTTTCATGTACCTGTTTGTCATTTGTATATCTTCTTTGGAAAAATACAGATCCTCTCCCCATTGCTTAATGGAATTGTTGTTTTTTTTTGTTTTTTAGTTTTTGCTAAAACTAAAAACTCATGAATTATATGAGTTCTTTGAATATTTTGGATACTAACCCCTTATTGTATATATGAGTTGCAAATATTTTCTTCTATTCAGAATGTTGCGTTTTCATTTTGTTGATGTTTGCTGTGCAGAAGTCTTTTAGTTATTGTAGTCTCACTTGTTTATTTTTGCTTTTATTGCCTTTGCTTTTGGAGTCAGATCCAAAAAATCATCACCAAGAATGATGTCAAGGAACTCACTGCCTGGTTTCTGCTAGGAGTTTTATGGTTTCAAGCCTTATGTTCAAGTCTTTAATCCATTCTGAGTTAGTTTTTGTGGATGGTGTAAGATCCACTTTCTTTCTTATTTCTTTCCTTTTCATTTTTGTTTGTTTTGCATGTGGCTGTCCAGTTTTCCCAGCACCATTTATTGAAGAGACTGCCCTTACCCCCATTGTATATTCTTGGCTGTTTTGTCATAAATTAATTGATCATCTATGCATGGTTTTATTTCTGGGTTCTATTCTGTTCCATTGATCTATATGTCTCTTTTTATGCCAATAACATAATGTTTTAATTACTATAGCTTTGTAATATAGTTTGAAATCAGGATGCATGATGCCTCCAACTTTGTTCTTTCTCAAGATTGTTTTGGCTATTTGACGTTTTTAATAATTTTGCTTTAAAAGAAATGAAACAAGGAAAAAAGATAACTGTAGTGTTGTCCACTGAATTCTTCTCAAGTAGAGAAAAGCCTTTATTTAGAAATGAACTCAAATGGGCATGTATGTTAAATAATATAAGGCCCTTGTTGATTTGCTTGTCTTATTTGGTATGGGGCAAATAAGTAGCTAAACTACCCTAAGAAATAAACAGGGATTTAGAATTAGATGAGTAGTTAGATTGGAGGATAAGATAACTACTCAAGGTTATAATCCAGCAAAGGAAAATACAAATCTAAAAGAGAAAAAGATGAAAGAAATAAGAAACAGTGCTGAGCAAAGGTATCGGTGGAATGTGTCAAGTTAAAATGAGTAATGGTTTCTTCCTTTCTGCTGTAGGCTCTAGTGGCTGATGTCGAGATGGGCAAGTTCATGAAACCCAGGAAGGTGGTGCTGGTCCTGGCCGGACACTGCTCCGGACGCAAAGTGGTCATTGTGAAGAATATTGATGAAGAATATTGATGATGATCAGACCATCCCTACAACCATGCTCTGGTGGCTGGAATTGACTGCTGTCCCCACAAAGTGACAGCTGCCATGGGCAAGAAGAAAATCACCAAGAGGTTGAAGATCAAGTCTTTTTTGAAAATTTATAACTATAATCACCACATGCCCACAAGGTACTCTGTGGATATCCCCTTGGACAAAACTGTCATCAACAAGGATGTCTTCAGAGACCTTGCCCTTAAATGCAAGGCCCGACGAGAGGCCAAGGTCAAGTTCGAGGAGAGGTACAAGACCGGCAAGAGCAAGTGGTTCTTCCAGAAGCTGCGGTTTTAGATCTCTTTTGTTTCAGTCATTAAAAATTCCAAAAAAATAAAAAAAAATGAATAATGGTACATAATAAAAAAGTTACTATGTAAATTTAAAGAGAAAATTAATATATTTGATCACAGGGAGGGTGGTAGGGGACAAGTTTGAAGAAATAAGTTCTCCTTTTGGAAAAATTTAAAATCTTAGATTGGATTTAAAAATATTCAGTAAAGAGGGCTCCTGGGTGCCTCAGTTGGTTAAGCGTCTGACTCCTGATTTCAGCTCGGGTCTTGAACTCAGGGTTGTGAGTTCAAGCCCCATGTTGGGGGAACTTAAAAAAAGAAAAATATCCAATAAAGACACACTAAATAGACTAAATAATAAATAAAAAACAAAAGAGATATTGCATAGTACACTTAAGAAGCTTGATGTAATATACTGTATATATATAAATATATACAATAAATAGTAAATACACTTTTTTTTCAAAGACACATAGAATAGTCTTTGAAAGCATTAGACTAAAAAGACAATTTAAGAAGTTCTAAGGAGAAAAAGAAAGATTTTATACAGATCACATTCTCTGACAACAATGCAATAAAAAATGATAAAAGTAGCAAAATTTGTCTAGATATGGCCTCTAAGGTAAGGGAAATCCAGTTGTCTGCTGATGGACACTTAGGAAATGGGACTACTTTCTAGCACCATACACAAAAATAAACTCAAAATGGATTAAAGACCTAAACGTGAGACCTAAAACCATAAAAATCCTAGAAGACAACACAGGCAGTGATTTCTCTGACATCAGCCATAGCAACATTGTTCTAGATATGGTTCCTAAGGCAAGGGAAATGAAAGCAAAAATAAACTATGGGGACTACATGAAAATAAAAAGCTTTTGCCACATCAAAGGAAACCATCAACAAAACAAAAAGAAAACCTACTAAATGGGAGAAGATATTTGCAAATGATACATCCAATAAGGGATTAATACCAAAATATATCAAGAATTTATACAACACCAAAAAACCCAACAACCCAATTAAAAAATGGGTGGAGGACCTGACTAGACATTTTTCCAAAGAAGACATCCAGATGGCCAACAGACACATGAAAAGATGCTCAACATCACTCATCATCAAGGAAATGCAAATTAAACCACAATGATATATCATCTTACACCAGTTAGAAAGGCTAAATTCAAAATGACAAGAAATAACAAGTGTTGACAATGATGTAGAGAAAAGGGAACCCTCATGCTCTGTTGGTGGGAATGTAAATTGGTACAGACACTGTGGAAAACAGTATGGAGTTTCCTCAAAAAATTAAAAATAGAAATACTACATTAAGAATTCCACTCCTGGGTATTTTCCCAAAGAAAATGAAAACACTAATATGAAAAGATATATACACCCCTATGTTTATTTTAGCATTATTTACAGTAGCCAAGATATAGAAGCAATGTAAATGTCCATCAATACTTGAATGAAAAAAATGTGATATGTATACATATATACATAATGGAATATTATGCAGCCATAATAAGGATGAGATTCTGCTATTTGAGAACAACATGGAGGGTAGAGGGTATTATACTAAGCGAAATAAGTGTGAGTGAGAAAGACAAATACCAGATGATTCCATTCATAAGTGGAATCTAAAAAAAAAATGAATAAACAAAAAGCAGAATCAAACCTATAAATATAGAGAACAAACTGGTGGTTGCCAGAGGGGAGGGGAGTAGAGTCTTGGTCAAAACAAGTAAAGGAGGGAGGGAGATAGAAGCCTTCAGTTATGGAATGAATAAATCATGGGATTAAAAGGCACAGCATAAGGAATAGAGTGAATGATATTGTAACAGTGATATAAGGTGGCAGATGGTAGCTACACTTGTGGTGAGCACAGCATAATGTATAAACCTGTCAAATCACCAAGTTGGTCACTGAAACTAATGTAACATTGTATGTCAACTATACTCAAATAAAAAAATAAAAGTTCAAGCCTGCCACTAGCAATTTAAAAATTAAAAACACTATTTATAAACCATTTAAAAATAAATAAAAATGAATGTGGCCAAAATGGTTCCCAATTGAAATTTTATAATTCTAACTGCTCAAAGGTAAAGAATTTAATCAACTAGAAAAATAACAAATTAAATATATATTATAGTAAATTAGAAGTAAAATAGTCATTAATAAATAAGTAAATATTCATTAAATAATTAGAAAATCAGAGAAATTAGGTTTGCTCAATAACCAATGTGTGCTCTCAAAAAGATGAATGAAATAGAAAAAAGGAATCACTTTTGTAAGTCTATTTAATCAAAGAAAGGAGACTATGGAAATTAACATAAATGAAAATATCATAGTAATAGGAGGAATATTAAAAATATCATCTGACTTCTTGCTGCCCATAATAGAAAGCTAGATGGAAAGAAAATATAAGAAACAAATGATTTAATAAAAAGGTGCCAAGTCTTGTAAATTAAAAGAAAAATTAAAACTGGATTCTCTTTCTCAGTGTCTTCAGATAGTGAATGAGTCCAAAATTAAGAAATGGGCTTCTGTTCAAAGATCAAAATCAAAGCACCAAAGAGAAAACATGTTGTAAAGACAAAGCCTTTGTGAAGACCCCAATAAGATTTGAGATATTTTCTCACAGATCCTTCCAAATAGGTACAAGGTCCTGTAAGTGTCTTAAGGAAACACCTTGCACACCCTCACTGGTAAACATTAGGGCTTCTGAGAGTGTTAGAGATGTTGTTCTTCCTGCAGGTTCACAGAGATCCCTGAAAAAGATTATTTATTTCAAAGAGATTGTGAGTGGATTATAATGGAGTCCATTACAAACGCACACACAAAAACCTGTGAAGGTTTTTTTTTTTAAAGAATTATGCCAGCTTAGACTGAAAGGAACAGGGACAATACAAAAGGGGAAAGCTTTGGGTTCTTAACTTCCATGGGCAGGAAATGGACCTAAAACCCTATTCTACTGCATATATGGGCTAAATTAAATGGAAAAGAAAGGGTAAATACAAAAGCCTTGATGGCAAAGCCAAGAGCCACATTAAATAACTCCCAGACAGTAGGAGCTCCAGTCAGGGAACTGGCAATATGTGCAGGCTGAATTTCAGAATTGCTATGGATCATTGATTCCTCTGAGTCTCAGACTTTTAACCTTTTTGAATGGAAGTGTGACTAATGATTATCTTATGCCTGTCTTACCATTACATGTTGGATGTGTGGGTAGGGTAGATAATTTGTCTCTTTATTTCAAAAATCCTTAATTGAGTGGAAGTGTACTCGAGGAGTACCTGAGGAACTGGTATTTGAGCATCATTCATGCTTCAGCTTGATTTACTTGACAAGACCCTGGATTTTGAGCTTGTTGTAATAAGATGATGTTTCTGGGTCTTGGGAAAGGGATGAGTATTTCTTCCATGTGGGAGGGATGTAAACTGTGGCTAGAGAGTGTACTGTGGCAAGTTGTATTTTCTCCAAATGGCCATTATTGCCAATTGTATTATGTATTGTGTTGTATTGTATATCATATATTATATCATATTATATTATAATGCACTACATTGTGATGAGATGTGATATTACATCATATTGTGTTATACTGTGATGTGATGTTATATTATATCCTATCACACAAGACCTTCTCGTGGAGTGATATTGATATTCTTCTCATCAAGATTGAGGAGGAGGGGTCTACATTATTACCCCTTTAATCTGGGTAGGTCTTTGACTCTGGTTGCAGTGACACTATGTGACTTCCATGGTCATGTCATAAAGTCTGATAAGGTTTCTTCATAGTTCCTGTTGGAATACTTATTCTTGTATTACCATGCTGTGAGCAAGCCCAGGCCACAGGGAGAGAAACGAGAAAGAATGCCCTACTGACATGAGAAATGAATTGTTTATGTGAAGAAAGTTTAGAAAGTAGACCAAGCATAGTATGTTTAGGGGGCATTATCATAAAGAAAGAATATATAGTACCTGATATTTTCAATGTATGTGAATATACTTTATTACATAAGCAGTTATGGGATTTCAATATCGTGAATAAGAATAATGGGTCAATAAATATACTTGAATTCAGTTATTCAATGGTAATTCAAATTACACAGCCCAAGACCAGGGGCTTATAGTTGTTTTCTTCCAGGGTAGGTAACAGAATCATATTCCTCTCCCTCTAAATTGAGCCTCCTCAGCACCTTTTTTCCCCCAGCTTATACCATCTATTTTTAGCGTAGTGCTAACACAACCTTCCAATAAGCACACAAATAAATAAATGTTGATGGAAGGATGAATGAACCTCACTAGAACATTGACAGGTGCTCTCCTAGGTGCTAGGATTACACCCTTAAATAGCCAATGATTATTATCCATGAGAAAATGCATTTTAAACTTTTTAAAAAAGATTTTATTTATTTATTTAACAGAGAGAGACACAGGAGAGAGGGAACACAAGCAGGGGGGGAGAGGGAGAGGGAGAAGCAGGCTTCCCACAGAGCAGGGAGCCCGATGCGGGGCTCGATACAGGACTCTGGAACCATGATCTGAGCCAAAGGCAGTTGCTTAACAACTGAGCCACCCAGGTGCCCAAGAGAAAATGCATTTTAGTAGACTGCATCAAAACATCCTATTCTTTCTGTTGAATCTATTTTGGGTATTTTGTATTTTTCTGGATTGATTTTTTTAATCTCTTTCAACTCTTTTCTTAACATTATTTCAACAATTCATGACAACACAGTTTTCTTACCAAAAAAAAATCTCTTAAGAGGGACAGGCAAAGATTTCTTCTAAATCAACTTTATAAACTTAGGCAAAGATAATTCACTTCCTCCGCACAAATATACGTAGCTATTGGATGATAAATACCTTATGTATTTTATATTTTCATACAAATGAAATCTCTTTTTAAAAAGTATCTATTTCAATAAATAAATCTTAAAAAAGGGGTGCTGCCTGGGTGGCTCAGTCGGTTAAGCAACGGACTGATGATTTGGTTCAGGTCATAATCTCATGGGTCCTGGG